TCTAAGCCACCTGCTGAGTGCAGAGTGGCAGCCACAGATAGTAGATCCCTGGTTAAAGGGAAATCCAAGTGATCTGGAGACACCTGAGGAGAGACTGGGGATGGAGGCTTTGGGGAGACAACGGAGAGAGTGGCTGGCAAGATCCTGCTGCTGACTCCTCCCCAGTACGGCAGCAGCCATCTTGCTCAGGCAGAGACCACTTCCCTGAGTGGCAGCAGCATGAGAGGACCCAATAGCCCTGCCTCCAGGAGGGACTCCACTCCGCTCTGAGCTGTCTAAAGTAGCCTGCTGAGCTCAGAGTGACTAGATTAACAGCTGAAGGCAACAGCCACAAAAAGTAGATCCCTAGAAGTCTCAAACAGACTGCCTAAGGTCAGACAGGGATGACCTCTGACATCATCAGAGGCAGATCCAGAAGTAAAAACAGCGGTCTCCTACCACAGAAGGTCACACCACAAAGGAAATCAAGACAGATCAACTTAAGAAGCAGAAGCAAAAAAGAAGAGCCTCACAAATAATGGGAAGACAAAAAAACAAAAAACAAAAAAAACCCCAATTGAAGGGAAAGGAGGAATACCCAGAAAGAGAACTAAATGAAATAGAGGCAAGTAAACTATCAGATATTGAATTCAAAACAACGGTTCTAAAGAAGCTCAATGAGCTCAGTGAGCTCAGAGAGAATTACCAAAAATCACAGGGAAACTACGAGGAACTTACAGCAAACTCTATCAGCATGAAAAAGGACATAGGAACTATCAATAAGAGACAAGAGGAAATAAAGAATATCACTTCTGAATTGAAGAACACAGTAGAAGGAATCCAAAGCAGGCTAGATGAAGCAGAGGATCAAATCAGCGAGCTGGAAGACAAAGTAGAAAAAAGCCCAGAAAGAGCAAGAAAATGAAAAAAGACTAAAAAAGAGTGAAGAAACATTTAGGGAAATGCAGGACAACCTGAAATGTAATAATATCCGTATAATAGAGATACCAGAAGGAGAAGAGGATGTGGATGGGACAGAGAACCTGTTTGAAAAAGTAATGATAGAAAACTTCCCAAATTGGAGGAGAGAAAAAGTCACACAAGTCCAGGAAGCACAGAGGGTCCCATTCAAGAGGAGCCCAAAGAGGCCCACTCCAAGACACATCCTCATTAAAATGGCAAATATCAAAGACAAACAGAGAATCCTAAAGGCAGCAAGGGAGAAAGAAACAGGTAGTAACATAGAAGGGAGCCCCGATACAGCTAGCAGCTGACTTCTCAACAGAAACACTGCAAGCCAGAAGGGAGTGGCAAGAAATATGCCAAGTCAGGAAAAGCAAAGGCCTGCAACCAAGGCTGCTCTACCCAGCAAGGCTCTCAATTAAAATGGAAGGTGAAATAAGGAGTTTCCCAGACAAAAGAAGGCTAAAAGAATACACCTCCACCAAACCAGCTATGTAAAGTATGCTAAAGGGGCTGCTTTAGGATGAAGAAAAAATTTCTATGAATACCCACTTCCTTTCAGAGTTGCCAATACTTGATAGTACCAAAGTTTTTAATACTCATTAATCTGATTGTGACAATGATGTGTTATTTTAATTGTTCCTTCATTATTTGTTGAAACTAAACCTGTTTTAGTATGTTTCTTGCCTATATCTATTATTTTTTTAAAAAAAGCTTTAAATGACTTTTTGGTATTCTTTATCCATTTATTGATTAAAGGTTTGTAAATTATTTTCCATAAATAAGAAACAACTATTAACCATTTTTTAGATGTGTGGCAAATACTTTCCCATTCTATTACTTGTCCTTTAACTTCTCTTATATGTATACTACTATATACATACATATATATATATATATGTGTGTGTGTGTATATATATGTATGTATATAGTCTTAAATATTTAATATAGTCATATTGTCAGTATTTTACTTTATAGCTTCTGGGTTTGAATATTTTACTTCAGGGTCTTAACTGTTTAATATAGTCATATTGTCAGTATTTTACTGACTATATATGTGTATACTACTATATACATATATATATATAGTCTTAAATGTTTAATATAGTCATATTGTCAGTATTTTACTTTATAGCTTCTGGGTTTGAATATTTTACTTCAAATAAGTAACATTTTTCGGGTAAGAAAAATATTAGTTTGTATTTTCTCCTAAAACTCTTTAGATTTTACATATTGATTTTTAACCCACTTGAATATTTCTTGTATAATGTGTGAAATAGGGTTCTATATTTGTTTTATTTCAAGTAATAGTGGCCCATGCACCTTATTTGTTGAATAAGCCTTATTTTACCCATTGATTTGAAATATCAACTTAACCATATATTACACTGTCAGACAGATATATACCTTTGTCTCTAGAATGCTCATTATAGTTCATTGATCAACTTGATTATTTCGGTGCAGGTGTCATGTTGTTTTAATTGCTGAGACTTTATAATGGTTTTAAATTTTTTAATATTTTATAATTGACTCTGACATTTAAAAAAATAAAAAGTCAATCTGCATTTAAGAAAGAAAAAAGAAAGAAAGAAGAAAAGAAAAGAAAAGAAAGATGGAACTCCTACTTTTTGCAACAACATGGATGGAACTGGATGCTAAGTGAAATAAGCCAGTTGAGGAAAGACAAATACCGTATTATCTCACTTATAAGTGGAATCTATTCAACAAAATAAACCAATGAACAAAATAAACCACAGGCAAGGAAACATGGAGCAGACTGAAAGTGACCAGACAGGATGGGGAAAGAGGGCAATGGTGGAAAGAAAGGAAAGCGACTAGACAAAGAACATGTATGAATGACCATGGACATGGACAACAGAGTGGGAATTGTCTGTGGGGGTCGGGGTAGGGGTGGGATGGGTGGAGGGGGGCAAAGGGGGAATATTGAGAAACTGTAATAGAATAAACATGATTTAAAAATAAAACACAAACAACAACTCACAGACACAGACAACAGTATGGTGGTTACCAGAGGGAAGGGAGTTGGGGATAGGAAAGGGGGTGAAACATATGGTGACAGAAGATTGACTGTGTGTGTGTGTGGGCTTATTAGAAGATTTTGCACACAATGCAAAATACAGATTATGTATCCCAGGAATATACCCTTGTAATCTTATTAACCAATGTCACTTCAATAAATTTAATGAAAAGAAAAAAAACACGCTTTGGCGGAGACCATCCTGGGCAAACGGGGTCTTATGATTACTTTATCTAGCTCAGTCCTCAAAAGTCTTCTGTTCTCTAAATACACTCACTCACTTAGTGACTTCATTTAATCTTATGATTTTAAACACTGATGTCTTCTCACTTCACATATTCAGCCCAGCCCTCTCCCCCGAACTCAGTATCATAGATCCAGCTGTCTAGTTTGATATTTCTCTTTGGTTGTCTCACAGACATTCACCTAAACCCAAAAACCAACTGTGCTCCACCCCTACTCCCCTCCATCCCTGCAACAAGAACTCCCTAGCATTCCCTGTCTTAATTAGTACTGACTCCATCCTTCCAGTTGCTGAGGGGAAAAACTTGCAGTCTTGACTCCCTTAAATATCATAACCCAACATCTGATTTACCACGAACTCATGTTTGCTCTACTTTAAAAACATACCCAGCATCCTGCACCTTTCACCACCTCCACAGCCACCAGATCCAAGTCACTACCATTTCCAGCCTGAATTATTAGAACAGCCTCCTACCTGGTCTCCCTGCTTTTGCCCTTGCTCCTCTAAAATCTATTTTCAATACATTAGCCAGAGTGATAATTTTAAAACATGTCAGATCATGTCACACCTCTTTCCAAAATCATCCGAGGGCTCCCCAGTCACTCAGGCTAAAAGGCCATCGTAGTCCTTCAATGAGCTATAAGATCTGGCTGCCCCCCAAAACATTCTGACCTCATTTCCTCCTACGGCCCTCTGTATACATTCTGGATTCTGCAGAATCCACACGTGGCACTTCTGTGTCAAGGTCTTTACCTCAGCATTTGCTCTCCCAGAAAAGCTCCTGGTTGCCCTGGCATGTTCTCTCAGGCTCTTCTCAGCAAGATCTTCTATTTACAATAGCAACATTCTCTTTTCTTCCTTTATCTCCCCCAACTCCATGTCCCTTTTCATATTTAACTTTTCTCCATCTGATATACAAATATTCTTGTCTTTACTGAAGTGTGTATATGTGTATGTATGCATGTATGTGTATACACACACACAGACATACACACACAGAAAAATGTACATATCATAAGAGTACAACCTGATGACTTTTCATAAACAAAACATACCCATGGACCCAGCACCCAGATCAAGAAACTGCATGTTACCAGCATCCCAGAAGTCCTCTCTCCTGAACTCTTCCAGTTGCTACCCCTGCCCCCTGCCATGTAACTGCTATCTTGACTTTAAACAGCATAGATTAGTTTTCTCTATTTTTGTATTTAATAGAAATGGGATCATACACTATGTATTCTTTTTTGTTTGGTCTCTTGCTCTCAACATTATATCTGGATGATGTATCCATATTGTTGCATGTAATTATAGACCTTTCATTTTCAGTGCTGTAAAGCATTTCACTGGATAAATATATCATGCCATTTGGTGATGGACATTGGGTAGTTTTCAGTTTGGGACTATTATATGTTTTTTGATGAACACATATGATGTCCTGTTGGTAATACATGATACTTGCAATTTGTTTATTTGTATATGAGGCAGTATTTTTTTCTGTTTAGTTCACTTCTGTGTTCCCAGTACCTAAGATAATATCTGACACATAATAGATGTTCAATAAATATTTGTTGAATGAATAAATGAAATCATTTCTCCTTCTCTTATTTATAAATTAGTATAGTCTCAACGAATCCTTTTTTTCCAGAGAATACAAAGTCACTTCTATACTTTGCTTTAAATATACTAGATATGGAACCTCCAGAATGATATTTAACAAATCATAGGAGCAAAACTTCAGCATAGGCATATGCCTCTGTAGAGTTGCCTAGAACTCACCATCGGGTAGACACATAATCAGTGTATGGTGGCTGTGACCTTAATTCCCTTGCAAGACCAAAATCAGCAATTTTTACAAGTTCTGGACCCATACAAAGCAAGTTTTCTGGTTTCATATCCCTATGAAAGAAACCTGAGAATATAAAGAGGAAAAACAATAATAAATTATCATGTTTAAACATATTTCACATAAAATAGAACTGAGCCTCTCTGTTATAACTAGGAATGTGAATTAAGGGGAAAAAAATAAACCATGTTTATTGCATAAAAAGTGATGGGAGGCAGAGATACTGCTTTCAAAATAATTTGGCAAGACAGTTCACACAGCATATGAAGTCATTAAAAATAACATGTATTTCTTCACCCTGGACAGTGTGGCTCTGCTGGTTGGAGCATTGTCCCATACACCAAAAGGTTGCAGTTCGGTCCCAGGTCAGGGTGTGTACAGGAGGCTACCGTTTGATCAATGTTTCTCTCCCTCTCACTCTCTCTCTCTTTCCCTTCCTCCCTCCCATCCTCTCTCTAAAATGAATAAACAAATCCTCAAGTGAGGATTAAAAAAATACATAAAATGATATGTATTTGTATGTGTTAATCCAGTAAATTCAGGCACTGGGCTGGATACCGCCACATTATCATAATCCCCATTAATTTTCAAAACAACCTTAAAGAGGTATTATGATCACTGCTGTGTAACAGACAAGGAGGTCGAGGCTCAGAGACAAGTAGCTCAATGGGAGCTTGAGGAGGGCTGCATAGTCAGGCTTAAGTCAGCACAGCTGGCCTTACTACGGCTGTACCACATTTAACACAAGATTCCTTGAGTATAATCACTTACTTGAAAAATCTATTAAACAAAAATAGATCTCCACACATTCTAACCAATTTCTTCATTTAAAATTATTTTATTTAACAGCTGAGTTCTTTCCTGGTAGGTGCTTTACTGAAAAACCCAATAATTATAATGTTTATTTACCAATCAACATACAAAATAAATGGCTAGTTATGGAATCTAAAAGGCAGCCCAATGGAAATGAGGCAGAAAACCCAAAAGAAAAACATGAAAGCTCTCCTTGGAAATTTCTACAAGAGATTTAAAGCACACTGCTTATACATAGACGGCTTGTATTCTAATGACCTTGTAAGGTGGAAGAATAAAGAGCAAGCCTGGTCATTGGCTATAGTGATCACCATGAGGGGATTTTCATGTAGCTTAGGGTTAGGAAGATTGTCTAATCCTAAAATCTCTTAAATCCTTCAAAGCCACTGTGGGTTCTACGTTTGTGACATCTACAATTTTGAACTCAGTTTATCTGGTACTTCTTACTCAAAATAGCTGTTAGGAGCCATTTCACTAACTTCTAAGAGAAATACATTGTACTTTTATAAAATGAAAACAGGAATGGGAACACATGATGGTAAAGTGACATTAATCCAGAAATCTCAGAATTAAGCCAATTACATATATGTAAAGTTGAGATTTTCCCCATCCTCAATAACATAAATATATTGGAGACTTAGTCGTATTTTAACTAAAATATTGGTCTTGTTTTTTTGGCAGCCACTATTTTAAAAATTTTTCTCAAAATATTACATCTGAGATGCTTATTAACTACAGAGAAATAAAGTTTTGTAAAAATGTCTATTGTTGTTAGAGTCCAGTTTCCCAAATCACTGTGCAGTCAATTATGTAACTCTAGGTTATTCATGCTATTTACTTTCAACAGAAACTTATAAATCCCAAGCTAACTTCTTTGAATCCTCTGTGCTCCAAAGTTGCTGATAGTTGATACATATCTAAGGAAACTAAAACAACTTTGTTATTAGCCTGAAAATTATCAATAAAACAAAAGCTCTTTCCCAAAAAATCAAACAATTCATGAGACTTTTGATTTTCTATATCATACTGGCTTAATTAGCATAACGTAACTCGCAAATATCAAGAGTGCCATGATGACCAGAATTTCAGTGGCATGATATATTCACCTTCTTCTATATTTGGGGCTGAAGTTCAGGCATCTACTACAATTTAAATAGCATATGTTTTTTATTTCCATGTAATTAATTAGTAACCGACTTTTACAAGTGAGATGTAGTATCTTACCATGGGTTTTAGACTTTTAAAGAACTTGGTAGTCTATATAAGACAAACAACTGGGGATTCAGGAATTTTCTAAATGCTGCTATGGAATTCTGCATAGCATTTTTTTTTTTTTTTAATCCTCACCCAAGGACATACTTATTGATTTTAGAGAAAAGGGAAGGGTGGGAGAGAGGGGGAGAAAAATTGATGTGAAAGAGAAACAATAGTCACCTCTCGTACTCCATGACCTGGGACAAAACATACAATCTAGGAAGGTGCCCTGACCAGGAATTGAACCCATGACCTTTCAGTTTACAGTTCAATGCTCCAACTGAGCCATAGTGGCCAGAGCTGCATAGCAGTTTTAGAAAATATATTATTTCCTGTAGCAGTTAAAGGAGAAAAAAATTTATAAAATATGGGATGAAACATGAAAGATTAATGGTGGTGTTTTTTGAACACCTATGTTCACAATGCAGCACTGGTATAATAAATAGAAACTTTTCTAATTTAATATCTAAATATCTAGTGATTCTAAACAAATGTTTGCTAAAAGTTTTTATAATAGTCATACTAACTTTTTGTACTAATTATTTTGGTGTGATAGATATGCAAAAACTATACAAAGGTTACGTAAATAATTTTTTCTTTATATATAAATATATTTTATTGATTATGCCATTGCATTGTCCCCCTTCTTTTTCTCCCCTTTATTCCACTCTAACCTGCACTGCCCCATATCCCCCAGCATCCCCCGCCCTTAGTTCCTGTCCATGGGTTGTATATATAAGTTCCTTACTTCTCCATTTCCTATACTATTCTTAACCTCCCCCTGCCTATTTTGTACCTACTATGTATGCTGCTTATTCCCTGTACCTTTTCCCCCATTCTTGCCCCGCCCCCTCCCCTCTGTTACCCTGTTCATAGTTTTTGATCTTCTTTCTCATAGATAAGTCCCTTTAACATTTCTATTAATAAGGGCTTGGTGATGATGAACTCCTTTAATTTGACCTTATCCAGGAAGCACTTTATCTGCCCATCCATTCTAAATGATAGTTTTGCTGGATAGAGTAATCTTGGATGTAGGCCTTTGTCTATCAAGACTTTGAATACCTCTTTCCAGCCCTTTCTTGCCTGCAGCTTTCTTTGGAGAAACCAGCTGATAGTCTTACAGGAAATCCTTTGCAAGTAACTGTCTCCTTTTCTCTTGCTGCTTTTAAGATTCTCTCCTTATCTTTAATCATGGGTAACTTATTTATGATATGCCCTGGTGTGTGCCTCCCTGGGTCCAACTCCTTTGGGACTCTCTGAGCTTCCTGGATCTCCTGGAAGTCTATATCCTTGGCCAGATTGGGGAAGTTCTCCTTCATTATTTGTTCAAATAAGTTTTCAATTTCTTGCTCTTCCTCTTCTCCTTCCGGCACCCCTATGATTTGCATGTTGGAATGTTTAAAGTTCTCCCAGAAGTTCCTAAGCCTCTCCTCATTGTTTTGAATTCTTGTTTCTTCATCCTGTTCTGGTTGAATGTTTATCTTTTCCTTCTGCTCCAAATGGTTGATTTAAAGTCCAGTTTTCCTTTCCTGTACTGTTGGTTCCCTGTATATTTTTCTTTATTTCACTTTGCATAGCCTTCGCTTTTCCCTCCATTCTGCGAACATACTCAACCAATTCAGTGAGCATCCAGATTACCAGTGTTTTGAACTGTGCATCTGATAGGTTGCCTATCTGTTCATCGCTTAGTTCTATTTTTGGAGCTTTGATCTGTCCTTTCATTTGGGCCATATTTCCATGTCTCATCATGCCTGTTATGTGGGAGGGGCAGAGCCTTAGGTATTTACCAGGGCTAGGCAACCCAGGTCATTGAGTTGTGACACTGTGTGTAGGGGAGGGTACCAAGAGGGAACAGTGCCACTTGCCCCACTCTCTGCCGCCTTTTAGTCACTTCCCCCGCTGCCCACAAGCAAATTGGGCCGTTCTAGTGCTGATTACCGGGTGGGTGGGTTTGTGTATGTTCTAGGACCCTGTGGGTCTCTCCAACGGACTCTTCTGTGAGGCTGGGAGTTTATTCGGCTCCCACAACCCCAGAGGTTTTTATCTCCAGGGGTTTTGAGGCTTTCTTTTCTTGCACTGGAACCCTGGGTTCCTCAGCTGTTCCTCTGGTCTATCTGCACGCAAATGTGGGACCACCTAGTCTGCCAGCCGCCATCGCGCCTGCCCTGTCCTCCAGCCACTGCCTTGCTCCGTAGCCTCTCTGCCCCGGCTGCCCCTCTCCACCCCTCCTACTGGGCTGGATGAATGTTTCTTCTTTAACTCTTGGTTGTCGGACTGCCATACAGTTCAATTTTCTGTCAGTTCTTGTTATCTTTTGTTTTTAAATTTGTTGTTGTCCTTCTTTTGGTTGTGCAAGGAGGCAAAGTGTATGTACCTATGTCTCCATCTTGGCCAGAAGGTCCATAAATAAGTAATTCTTAAAAATAAGATCACTAGCTTTAATTTTACTCAAAGAATAGAAACAACTATATGTAAATACCAAGGGAATCTATAAAGTATCATAACATGGCTGATTTAAACTACTTAAATAATGATAGCTAGTCTTGGTAGATCAAAGCACTTTCACCATTTCCAAAAGAAGGGACTTATATATTTTTTTTCATTTCTATGGTAAAGTTAGAGAGAATGAGGTTGCAGGATAGGTTTATGATGACTAAGACTAAAGGCTGATGATGATCAAACTGTTAAATTCTGCCATACAGGAAGATAATTATAGATTACTGTATTTTATATAAAATGATAAAAATTTTGAATTCTTAAACACAAATATCAGCTGTGTAGACACATACTCCAAACTTGCAGTTATCCAAGCATTACATTATTTAACAGTTTAAATTCAATTCCTGTGCATGATCTTGACAATAATCTGAAGAAGCAGGGAAATAAAACTTAAAAGAAACCTACCATGTTTATGGATAAATGCCAGCCCTTGCAATATTTGATACATAATATTTCTGATCACTGACTCAGGAAACAACTTGTTCCTGTGAAGAAATGAACAAAAAACAGTCATGTAACAGCTGCTAACCAACCAATCAAAACAAATAAGGTTCCTCCCCGCTTAGAGCTCCTGCTGGCCTCATGAATCTGGCTAAAGGTAGGATTTACAGTTTCATAGTGCTGTCATATATTTAAAAAGTGAAAATTAGAATTGTTTTTGTTTTTCTGGGTGGTAAAAACTCAAATAGCTAAATTCTATTGATAAATTCTAAACTGATCAAAGGGGAGCAAAGTAAATTGGAAAATGCACAACTATCAGATGAGCCAAGTGTGCAAATCTGTGCTATGTATGTACATTTTAAGAATTTCAAGGGCATAACTGCTTCAGTTCTAGAGTATGCATTGGTACTGTCTGATAAAAATATAACAAGAGCCACAAATCAGAATCACTTATGTGTTTAACAATATTTTATTTAACATATACTGAATATTACTTTAACATGCAGTCAATATTGAAAACTTACTAATGAATTTACATTCTTTTTTTTGTACCAAGTTTTCAAAATCTGATGTGTAATTTATTGTACATTTATAGCTCAATCCAGACTAGCCACACTTCAAAGAAGCCACATGTGTCTAGTAGATACTGCATTGGACAGTACATCTTTATATGGTATTTACACAAAGCCTAAAAAATGTAAGATCCAAATAAGGGCTAAGTTAAGGTTCACAAATATTAATCAACAGAATGCCAAAAATTAATGTGATCAATTAAATCCTTGACCCTGAATTATTCTTTGACTCTGAAGCTATTCTAAGTTTTGAAAGCAATCATTTCAACATTTTCATAATTTCAACATTTTCTAACATTTTTATTTCAATGTGATTGATTAATTTGGAGTTTTTATTCAAGCATTCTCAACATATGGGAAAAGGTCTTTTTTTAACATTATATTACTAACTATATGTTTATATAATATTCGAAAGTGTCTCACCAAATGGGCCAGAGGCAAACAATAGAGAAAGATAAACACTAGTCTTATCAAAAATTTTAAAATAGTATCTTTAAAAAGTTTTTTATTGATTGATTTCTTTTTTTTGAGAGAGAGAGATGAAGCGGGGGACAGAGAGACTCTGACTGGGGATTGAACCCACAACCTTGGCATATTGGGACAACTCTCAAACCAACTGAGCTACCCGGCCAGGGCCTGAAAATAGTATTGACCATATATTATTGAAATATTTTAAAAACTCACTTTCAGAGACCCAAGATGGCAGAGGAGTAAGCAGAAGCTACACTAATCTCCTTCCAGGACCAAACGTTTTCTAAAGTATAGAAAAATCACCTTGAATAATCAACTGAACACAAGCTGGAGAGGAGCCTTACAACCACAGACATACAGAGGAAGCCACATCACCACAATGTGACTCGTAGGGAATGTGAAGGAGGTGCAAGAGGGCTGGCTGGGCTCTCAAAAGCAGGAGCTGAAGTCCTGGAGGAATATTTCAATGGCCAAGGGGATTCTCCTGAGAAGTACAGGATCTAAACCCCAAGCTGAGCTTCCCAGCCTATAGCACCAGAAGCACAAAATGAACCCAGATAACATCCAGCTGTGAAAAGCAGCAGGGTTTCTGTCTGCCAGGGAGAGAAGGCTGGATACTCAGAGAGCCCTTTAAAAGGCCAACACACAAAATTTCGCTTACAGCCACTTACACTGGGCTCCAGCAGAGGAAGAGCAGAGTGGACTAGAGATGCTTGAGGAGAGGCGGGTTGGTGGCTCTAATGAAAGAGCTGAAGGAACTGTCACCAGGATCCCTGTGCTAAGTCATTCCCATACTTCAGGAGCCATGCTTCTCAGGCAGAACACTCCCCTCCAAGTGGCATCAGCCTAAGAGGTAGCAATAGCCCTGCCTGTAGGAGTTGCTCTGCCCCACATTGTGGTGCATAAGACCTGCTGCTGAGGAGTACAGCTGGAAGACTTTCACTCTTTAAATGTTAACAGAAAGTCTTCAGACAGAGGTGCATCTCTGGGAGCTCTGACACTTCAGCTGACTCTCCCCCAACCCGGTGCTAGCTAAACCAGCTTTGGCATGCAGCCTGGTTCTTTCTATACACAAACAGGCCCAGCAGAGAGAACCACACACACACTGTGGACTGCTGAAACCTCCAAACAGGTTTCCCAGGGCTAGTCACAGGTAGGGTTTGACTTAGGCGTGTACGAGAGTCTTGCAGGCCTATGTAATACATAGAAACAAATACAAAGAAGCAGCCAAAATGGGAAGACAAAGAAAGAGACCCCAAATGAAAGAACAAGAGTATTCTTCAGAGGAACTAAATGAAATGGAAGCAAGCAAGTTATCAAATAGAGGATTTAGACTAATGATTATAAAGATACTCAACAGCATGAAAAAAAAAGACACAAACCATATGAAAGGACCAGTCAGAAATAAAGAATGCAATTTCTGAAATAAATAATGCACTGGAAGGAATACCCAGTAGGTTAGATGAAGCAGAGGATCAAACCAGTGATTTGGAAGACAAGGTAGAATAAAACGTCCAGGTCGAGCAGCAAAAAGAAAAAAGAGGAGAGCTTTTTTCAAAAATGAGGAGAGCTTAAGAAACATTTTAGACAACATGAAGCATAACAACATCCACATCATGGGAATACCAAAAGGAGGGGAGAGGGAGCAAGGGACTGGGGAGCTATTAGAAGAAATAATGACCAAAAACTTCCCTAAGCTGGTGAAAGAAAAAGACACACAAGTCCAGGAAGCTCAGAGACTCCTGAAAAAGTTGGACCCAAAAAGGTCTACACTGAGACACATCACAATTAAAATTACATAGTTTAAACATAAGATAAGAGTCCCAAAAGCCACAAGAGTTGCAGGTAGTTACCTACAAGGGAGCACCAATTATATTGTCATCTGATTTGTCAACAAAAACATTTCACCAGAAGGGAGTGGCATGAGATATTCAAAACGATGAAAAGCAAGGACCTACAACCAAAGCTACTTTACCCAACAAGGCTATCATTTAAAATTGAAGGAGAAATAAGGAGCTTCCCAAACAAGAAAAAGCTAAAGGGATGTTAACAACAAACCAACACTGCGACAAATGTTAAAGGGCTTGCTTTAAGAAGATGAAAAAGAGGAAGAAAAATAACAGAAAAATATAGTCTAACAATAAAATGGCACTAAATATGTATCTATCAATTATCATTTTAATGTAAATGGCTTAAGTGCTCCAACCAAAAGACAGAGGGTAGCTGAATAGTTAAGAAAACAAGACCCATAAATATGCTGCCTCCAAGAAACTCACCTCAGATCAAAAGAAACACACAGACTAAAAGGGAATGGAAAAAGATATTTAATGTAAATGGAAAGAAAAAAAAGCTGAGGTAGCAGTACTTATAGCTGACAAAATAGACTTTAAAACCAAGGCTATAGTAAGAAACAAAGGAGGACACTACATAATGATAAAGGGAACAATCCAACAAGAGGATATAACCCTAATAAACAATTATGCACCCAACATAGGAGCACCTAAATATGTGAAGCAATTCTTGACGCACATAAAGGGAGAGATCAACAGAAATATAGTCATAGTTGGGGATTTTAACACCCCAATAGTTGGGGACTTTGATGGATAGATCTTCCAGACATAAAATAAAAAAGGAGAAGCGGCCATAAAGGACGCAGTAGATCAAATGGATTTAACTGACATCTTCAGAGCATTTCACCCCCAAGCAATAGAATATACATATTTTTCAAGTGTACATGGATTGTTTTCTACAATAGACTACATGTTAGGACACAAAGCAAGTCTCAATAAATTTAGGGAGACTGAAATCATATCAAGCATCTTATCTGACCACAGTGCTATGAAACTAGAAATCAATCAAGAGGACCACTGAAAAACACTCAAAGACATGGAAGCTAAAGAAGATGCTATTGAGCAATGAATGGATCAATAATGAGGTCAAGGAATAATTCAAAAGATACCATGAAACAAATGAAAATGAGAACACAACTATCCAAAATCCATGGGACACAAGGAAAGGAAACCTAAGAGGAAAATTCATAGCATTACAGGCCTATCTCAATAAACAAGAAAAAGCTCAAACAATCTAACTTCACACTTAAAAAAAACTTGAAAAAGAACAACAAACAAAGCCAAAAGTGAGTAGAAAAAAGAAAATAATAAAGATCAGAGCAGAAATAAACGAAATAGAGTCTGAAAAATGTTACAAAAGATCAATGAATCCAAGAGCTGGTTCTTTGAAAAGATAAACAAGATTAACAAACCTTTAACCAAAGGTTTGAAAAGGTTTAACCAAAGAAAACAGAGAGAGGACCCAAATAAATAAAATCGGAAATTAAAAAGGAGAAATAATGCCCAAGAAATGCAAGAAATACAAGGATTGGAAAATATTATGAACGACAACATGTCACCAAACTGGACAACTCGGACGAAATGGATAAATTCCTAGTAACATACACTCTTCCAAAACTAGACAGATTACACCGAGTGAAATTGAAGCAGTAATCAAAAACTCCCAACAAGCAACAGCCCTGGACTGGATGGCTTCACAGGTGAATTTTACCAAACATTCCTGGAAGAACACCTCTCTTTCTCAATCTATTTCAAAAAATTCAGGAGGACAGAGGATCCCAAGCTCATTTTATGAGGCCAGCATTATCCTAATGCCAAAACCAGATAAAGACAGTACAAAAAAAGAAAATTCTAAGCCAGTATCTCTGACGAACATAGATGCTAAAATCCTCAACAAAATATTAGCAAACCAAATACAGCAATGCATCAAAAAGATCATACACCATGATCAAGTGGGATTTATTCCAGGAATGCAAGGTTGGTACAACATTAATAAATTAGTAAATGTGATTCACCACATAAACAAAATGAAGGATAAAAACTACATGATCATATCAATAGATGCATTAAAAGTTTTGATAAAATCCAGTACCCATTTATGATAAAAACTCTCAGCAAAGTGGGAATAGAGGGAACACATCTCAACATAATAAAGGCCATATATGACAAACCCAGTGCCAGCATCATACTCAGCAGGCAAAAACTACAAACATTCCCCTAAAGATCGGGAACAAGATAGGGAGGTCCACTTTCACCCCTCTTATTCAACATAGTACTGGAAGTCCTAGCCACAGCAATCAGACAAGAAGAAAGAAAACACATCCAAATAGGAAAGGAAGAAGTAAAACTGTCTGTATTTGCAGTTGACATGATACTATATATACAGAACCCAAAAAATTCCACCAAGAAACTACTATGACTTATAAATGAATTCAGCAAAGTAGCAGGATACAAAATTAATATCCAGAAAACAGTTGCATTTTTATATGCCAGTAACGAACTAACAGAAAGGGAGATTAAGAAAACAATCCCATTCGCAATTGATTCAAAAAGAATAAAATACCTAGGAATAAATCTAGCCAAAGATGTGAAAGACCTGTACTTGGAAAATTGTAAGACACTTAAGAAAGAAACTGAAGAAGATACAAATAAGTGGAAGTACATAGTGTCTTCATAGATAGGAAGAATTAACATCATTAAAATGTCCATACTACCCAAATCAATCTATAGATTCAACACAATCCCCATCAAGATTTTAATGACATATTTCACAACTAGAAAAAATTTTTAAAAATGTATATGGAACCACAAAAGGCCCCCAAAAGTAACAGTGATCCTGAGATCAAAGAAGAAAGTTGGAGGAATCATGCTACCTGATATCAAACTACACTATAAGGCTACAGTAATCAAAGCAGCATGGTACTGGCATAAAAACAGTCACATTGATCAACAGAACAGAATAGAAAGCCCACAAGTAATCCCACACCTTTACAGTCAATTAATATGCAACTGAGGAAGTAAGCACATACAACGGGCTAAAGACAGTTGACTCAATAAATTGTTTGGGAAAACTCAACAGGTATGTGCAGAAAAATGAAACTAAATCACCCTCTTACACCACATACAAGAGTAAACTCCAAATGGATTAAGACTTAAGTTTTAGATCCAAAACCATAAAAACTGTAGAAGGAAACATAGACAGCAAAATCTCAGACATAGCTTGTAGCAGTATTTTATCTGATGTATCTCCCCATGCAAGAGAAACAAAAATAAATTAAATAAACAAATGAGACAACATTAAACTAAAAAGTTTTTGCACAGTGAAGGAAAACATCAACAAAATAAAAAGACAACCCACTGAATGGGAGAACATATTCGTCAATACATCTGATAAGGGGTTAATATTCAAAATTTATAAAGAACTGACAAAACTCAACACACACACACACACACACACACACGCACACACACAAAACCAAACAACTCAATTAAAATATTGACAAAGATCTGAACAGATAACTTCTTGAAAGAGGATAAACAGATGGCCAGGAGACACATGAAAAGATGTTCAATGTCACTAATCATCAGAGAAATGCAAATGAAAACTACAATGAGATACTATCCTATACCTGTCAGAATAGCTATCACCAATAAGTCAACAAACAACAAGTGCTGGAGAGGATATGGAGAAAGGAGAACCCTTCTGTATCAGTGGGAACGCTGATTGGTGTGGCCACTGTGGAAAGCAGTATGGCAATACATCAAAAAATTAAAAATGGATCTGCCTTTTGACCCAGCGATCCCACTTCTGGGAATATAAGGAACCCAAAACAATAATTCGAAAAAACTTAAGGACCCCTATGTTCATTGCAGCGTTATTTACAATTGCCAAGATGTAGAAGCAGCCCAAGCGTCCATAAGTAGATGAGTGAATAAAACTATTGGACATTTACGCAATGGAATATTACTCGATTGTAAAAAAAGAATAAAGTTTTACCCTTTGTGACGGTTTGGATGGACCTAGAGAATATTATGCTAAGTGAAATACAAATGGCAGAGAAAGACAAATATCATATGATTTCACTTATATGTGGAATCTAATAAACAGACTAAACAATCTATCATCGTCACAGATAGCAGGATGACAGCTAAGGGGGTAGAGGGATTAAGCAAAAAGGAAAAAAAGACTCATGGATATGGACAACAGTGTGGTAGCTGCAGGGGGGTGAGGTATACAGGGACTAAATGGTAATGAAAAGAAATACAACAAAAAAATTATTAAAACCAACAAAAAAAAAAAGAATTCACTTTCATAAACTATAAATTTTAAAAGAAATATTTTCATCCTTGCCAACAATTTTAAATTTGTAAAATGAATGCTATATACCGAAGTTTATAGTATCAGAACAAAGGTTAATGTATATTGGTTTCCAATTGAAATGGAAAAGTTTATTTGAATAAAAAGGCTCCTGAATTAATCTAGATCCTCAAAAGAATGTTTCAGGAAGTTAAGTACCAAAAACAAAGTATAAAACTACCTCTTAACATCAAAGGCCTTTACCATATACACTTGTTAATGGTTAAATTTATACCTTTGATATTGAATAATTTTCTAAATAATGTAATTTTATTACCATGTAATTTAGAAATCCAGGATTGAATACTGAATTTCCAAAGTTGATTCTTTTTTAGTGTTCATTTGCTATTAACCACTTCCACTGACAGATATGTTTTAATCAGATGAGAGTATATTTCATATATTTATAGGTACTTAATTTCTTCTGCATCAACAACTACATCAATATATCATGCATGTTTATCATTTCATACATTTTAAACAGCATAAATTATTATTAGAAGCCAAAAAATTAAGATTACCCATAATCTTTCCACCTGATTAAGAAACTATTTTGGCTTTTCAGTATTCTAATCTAATCCTAAATCGTATGCATGCATAACTTTTATATTAGGTATTGATGTTACGTAAATAAAATTTTGCTTTCTGTTTTTTATCTACTTATAAGCATTTTCATAATATTTATAATTACCATTTTTAATGGCCTCAAAACAATTCTATTAATGTTATGTGTTATAATCACCAACTTATTCTCCCATTGATAGTTATTTCTTTTAAAATAATTCAGAGCTAAGTGAAGCTTGGTATAATTATTTAACAGAACATCCTATGGTAAGTATGAAAATTATATATCAGCATTAAAAAAGCCTGTTAAGTGAATGAATAAAATAAAATAAAGTAATGTATGACTATTAAAATTACAACCATGCAAAAAGTAGGCACGTCTGTATAGAAGGGCTAGAAAAAACTCTAGAAAATAAACACTGATTTGGGAGGTAGAAATCTTTTACTTTTATTTTAACTGCTATTAATGTTATGGTATCAGCCTGGAACATCAAAAGGAAAAATATGATCAAAGAAAAATTCACTCACCATCCTGAGGCCTTGGGTGAGTATGTGTATGTGCGAAAGAAATACAGAGAAAACTCAACATCAGTCTGCTGGGAAATTTATTTCTAAAGAATTTGAAGATATGTTGTTCAACTCTGGCTTTAAAAGCAGACAAAATTTTGGACATTAACCTCCCAGATAAGTGATTGGCAGCTATCTCCTAAATATTATCCTCCCCAAACTCATGGCAAATGACTGAAGCTCTTCCTCTTTAGATTCTGTTCATAGGTTTAAAAATTAAAATTAGAATTTCCTTGGTATGGGTAACACATTAAGTTTTATCATTCACTTAAGCATTCTAATGAGTTTATTAGCTCCTTTTTAGAAAGCTACTTCACTCCTTCCTCCATTCTTTTATTAATCTTTCACAAGATGCTTAGGAGAACGATGAAGATAATTTTCTCAATTTTGCCCAAGACCAACTTTATTACTGAGTCTTAAATTATAAATAGATCTTTGCTTCAAAAACTATAGGGAGATAGTATGTGTGTTTATATAAAATATTTATTTTGATTTTTAAGAGATTACAGAAGAAAAATAGTAGCTGTGTCATAGCTAGTTCTTCAACAGTAGATATTATCCTTTGATGAAGAGAACAACTAATGAGTTTAAATCTACCTCTCAGAATCTGAATATTGTAAACTGTGGCATACTGAAGGAATCCAAGGAACTCATGAAGGAGATAATAAAAGTACAATTTTCATAAAATACAGACATACCTGTCTTTCATTAATTGATAAAGGTTTTCTTTCATATATTCAAATACGAAATAAAGATGGTCATTTTCTCTGATAACTTCTTTTAATTTAATCACATTGGCATGATTAAGTTTCTTCAGAGACTGCAACACAGCAAATAAGCATTAAAATTCTTACAGCAAAGTTACAGAAGTTGGCAAAATGTTACCAATGCTAGTAGGTATGATAATTATCTTAAGTAATATTCCATTTCTTCTGAATTCATTAATGAATTAAGTTTTAATATCTACAAAATTTGTAGTATGTCTAAAAACATTTTAGAACACCTATTTAAAGTAAGCAGTAAATGTTTTAAGTAATTAAGTGCAAAAATAAACCAAGTCAACAGTAGCCACCAAACACTTCAGTTTGTCACTTTTTTCTCAGTATATTCACTAGGTCTAACTTTTTTCTGACTTATCCATTCAGAGGTCTCCAAAAATTTATCCAAGTCACACAGTATAAAATATAAAGAAATGGTATATAGTAATTTTAAAAGTTGTCTTTTCTTTGATAATATAAAGTAAAACACTCTTTTAAAAGTGAGAGTATACTTTCAAATATGAAGGTATAGTTATTTTCTGTTCTCCACTGAGATTTTGATGAAAAATGAGAAATTACTCTAGGAAGATAAAGGAAAAGGTTAAGAAATATAATTATTCTTTTCTCTGTAGGAAGCAGTACAAAGATAATCTTCTTAGCTACTGTCCTTAGAAATGAGATAGGTATGAGGTAGAGTTAAGGCCTTCTCCAGTTCTTTTCATCTCTAGGATTTTTACCTTAACTTCTCTCAAGTTCATGCATTCATCCCAAGAATAAAACTTCCTCTTCATCCTGAAATATAAAAAAGGTAAGTTTAGTGTACAGAGACTGAGGATTTGAAAGCACAAATTAGATCACTGGCTTTCTTTCTCTGTTTTTAGTTCACTTTGGGCAAGCTACGACTCTCTCTCTTCCCTCTTACTTAAAAGCAAATCACCTCCCTTCTATATATCTCAAGGCTATTTGGTATAAGTTCATGACTATGTCATATCTGAAATTCTGCTTTAACACAAAAGTGAAAGAATCACCATTAATCTTCCTTTCTGGATGAATTCTCACTTTTCTCTAATTAGTTTTACTGGGCTTTTCTACAAGGGTTCCTTCCAAAAGGCTCTCTTTCTAGAACTTAAAAGATAAATATGAAATATTATAATTAGGTGGAGTGGGGGAAAATTACAAATTTTGGTAGCAAATTTAGTAAAATGTCTTGTCTGACAACTTTTATATCACTACCTCAGCTTTAAACAAGAGGTCCATAAAATTAAGTGATTTATTTAAATCAGCAATAATTCAGAAGTAACCAAACTTTAGAAATAGCTTCCTTAAATTTTGTTTTTACTGCCTCTCTTCCACACTAATGTTGGTTACCATTAAAGATAAACAGATAAAAAGTGAATTTAGGGTAATAAAGTAATCCCAATATCTATACCATAGAAAGAGATTGCATTATTTATATGAATGTAATTTTAGTCACCAAACAAAGTGGGAGACAAGAAAAATAGGATTTATGTTTTAAAAAAATGTTTCTTTAGGTATAGAAATTACAAGAGTGATTATGAAAAATCAGAACCCTATATACCCTAGTGCTTTCATTTAATATTATAATTTCCTATTGAGGTGTTCTAGAAGATTCTCAGGAAGCTTGGAGTTATCCTTATTTACTAAACTAATTCCTACAGGAATTATTCTGAGCCTCTACAAGAGTGTAAAACACAGGGGTAAGGAATCAAGTAAAGGAAAAAGCAGCATTAAGAATTAGCCACACACCATGGTGGTCAAGAAGGTGGCTGTGGAATTGCACTGCCTGGATTTAAATCCTCAATCAGCAGCTCACTTATTAAACAGCCTTGGACGAATTATTTAATGACCTCTCTGTGCCTCAAATTCTTTATCTATAAAGTAGAAACTACTGCAAAAGAAAGGCTTATGGTAAACTGTCTAGCACTCAATAGATACCAGATGTACCCAAATCTATGATCTACAATAAGACACGAAGGGCATCACTGTTTGCACATTTTCTCAAGCAAACAAAGGAAAAGAAAGATCAGCTCCAAAGGTAAACTTTGCAGTGTTGTATATGGTACCTTTTGATGGCCACCAGCTCTCCAGATTCATTACTCTTGCCCATCAGCACACTCCCATAGGTGCCATCTCCCAGCTGTCGCATGGTTGTGTACCGGTTCATCTTGGAAAATAATGCAGCAGAAGTTGTTGATTACAATGGCTTCTTTGTTGGATATAAAGTTAAATGCTTCTTTATTTTTATTTGTTTTTTCTCTTAGACTGTTGTTGCGACACTGGTGACAGGTTTTTCATCATTAAACATAGGCTCATTCCCAAGACTGAGCCTACGTAGGTTCATGAGTTATAGCAATCAGGAATCCGGCAAGGAAACAGTACATCCATTTTTATAAACACCCTATAAAAATAAGGATAAAAAGAATTTTCATTAAAGAATCTCTTCAAGAAATTTACTGGTAATATATAGCACAAGGAAAAATTATAAATAATATAAATGCTAACGTGTTAAACATTTGTCAGTAAATTATTTGTTCTTTTTTGGAATGAAGTTCACATTTAACAGACTGATAATACACATTTGGTGAATGCTTCATTCATATGGTACTATGCAATTTATCCCATGGATGTTCAATAAATATCAGCCGAATGATGTGTATGGTTTCTTTTTTATTGAATATAACATATTATTCCAAATCAGACCTTGGGGAATCAGACATATATATCAATCCTTTGAATCGATTTCTGCATCACATTTAATTAGGACCACAATCCCTTGTGTAAAACTCCTGGGCCAGATCTGTTTGGAATCCAGGAATTTTCATGTTTTAGAAAAGTAATATGGTGCATATACCATATGTTATGTGATGTCTCTCAGTCTCATAATGTACCTACAGAAAAATAGGTAAAAAGGATACTCAGTAAAACAAAGACTATGAACGGCCTCCCATCATTCAGGTCATATTTTGTTGCAAATGAGTTTGCACCAATTTATTTTTAAAATTTCTTCTTTCAGAGGGCTGTATATTTCAAAACTATAAGTAAGCAATTGTGGATATATCTAAAGGGTACAGGTTTCAATAGTTCTGATTTTATTTTTATGATTACAGGAAAAGAAAGCACTAGCTTTACTGTCTACTTCATTACAACATTCGTTTCTTTCCACTGTTCTTAGCTCCACATTTCATGGAACTGTTTCTCAGTTCATACCTATTTTTCATTCTTATTTTTCTTTAAAAAAAAAACTCTATTATTCTGTTACAAGGCTTTATGCTTACTTGCAGGATGTCTGACACCATTAAAATAGTGTGCTTTTAAATGTCTTTTATAATTTGATACTTCATTCAGAGATTATTTTCCTTTCATTGTAGTGATGTTTCATTTTTATAAAATCAAATCAAATCATAGAAATTGTTTCTCTACTACATGCCTAAACTTAGGACTGACAAGAATGTGATGTAGTTGTCAATGTATCTACACTTCCAACAAGAGGCTTTCTGGAGAAAGAATAAACAAGTGTAAAGAAGTACAGTAAAACTAAGTTGTTTCTTATATTCAGGAATGTATTTGTCCACAGGAAACTTTGGAAGAACCCTGTGGGGCTTCTCAGTAACAGGGAGTGTTTATTAATTTATCATTTATTTTACTTCATACAGATAAGAATCCCTTCAAAGCTACCTGGAGAATAATTTAGGCTATGCTAACTCTGTGGCCAAGATCTTGAAAAAGAAATGACAATAGCAGCTTCCAGTTCTATTGACTGGTTCTTTCATTTCTCTCAGCTTGCATCTGAGCAAATGGTTTCTAAAATGCCAGCAAATGTTTCCCCTGTTTATGTAGTTTTTTGCAAGTGGTCTTTATATTATATATAAACACATATTATAAATATTAAAGTATTAAAATAGAGAAAGGTAACATCCCTCTGCAGGGTACCTGACCAAAATGTGTACTTGCTTTTATTAATTTTTCCTTTACCTACATAAGGAAATATAATTTTGAAAGATTTTTTGGGTTGTCTGTTTTGTATTATGTGCTATGATTAAACTATGAGCTGAACTGTATTTCTTCTGATCATTTAGAATGTTATGAAATATGTATTTTGCAATTTACTAGCAACATGTTACATTACTTGACATTCTTTTCTTGCTACCCTTTCTAAGGCGACATACACCTACCTCTTTTTAAGGAAATGGTGCTCTCTATAGGTTTACTGTATAAATAGCAATACAGAGAATGTAATTGTCCAAAAGGCCATGATGTCCATCATACCAGTAAAATTATAAAATAAAAACACAGAAGGATTAAATAACCTATCTATGACCAGTAAGAGAACCAAAGATGGAGTCAGTCTGATACTTGCATTAGCCTGAAGCTGTGTTTTTTCAGTGTACACCCTAACTTCTAAACAACCCATTCTTACTGGCTTTTACAGTCACTGATACAGCCGATTGTAATAAACTACCTTGCTTTTCTCTCAAACCATTCAGCATCTACCCTACAACGAAAGCTGCCCCCCACACCTTAAGATTTCTAACCCAATTGCCTCACTCTAAAACACCAAGATGCTACATATTGGAAAGTGCAAATGGCTTTCCCTAATTAACAAAATCCTGGGGCTACACCTGGCTTATCCTATACCTACCTGAAGGACATTGTAAAAATAATAGGTCAGAAACAGTGAAGGGAAAGAAAATGTGAGTAAGAGAGACGGGAGGCCACCTGGAGCTCCCCTCATGAAAATTTTATTTTTTTACCTCACCCTGAAAATTATTTAATTAATACATCTAATAGGATAATAGTATTGCTTTCCTTTGAAAATATGTTGCATATGCAACAATTACTTTCATGTTAATACCTAACTGAGGGTCTAAGAGGTAGAAAGGAATGTCGGCAATTCTGGAAAATGACACATTGCTCGAGAAGGGAATTAAAGAGGGAGCTGCCCAGGTGGGAACAGAAGTTCAGAGGTAAGAGAGTGTGAGAAACAGTAGACAAAACTTTACTTTGCAGTGACTTAGCCTGTAAAAGTGGAGTTAATTGCCTCTTTTTCTTTCACTATTAAGACAATGAACCACCACTACCACTAGCACTGCTAGCATAAGAGATCATTCAGTCATTAATGACTTTTCACAGTTGGCCTCGAAGCCCAGTTTTAGAGTGGCTACTGGAAATTTCATTCCAAGCCTAACCAAAGGACTCTTAAGTATACACTGGAAATACAAAGTTTACTTCAAGTGAGGGTGGCCACAGGGTAGGGTATACTTATATTCAGGGAAGAATAAACAAGGAACATGTCGTGTTGCGACCTTTCAAGGCTGGACAGGTTCATGGGATTCATGCATATGGAAGAATATTCACGGAGCCGTTGGGATGTCTGACATGCCTTTATTCAAGGGTGGACAAACCACACAGGCTACAAGCTTCGTGTCTATGTCTGCACACCAAGGCTCTGTGCATTTTCTTCCATCTACCTGAGTCTTGAGCGGCCCTGCCTTGCCTACACTGGCTGCAACACAATTGGAATAGGCGGCAGGATTTGTACGTTATGGAAATGGAGGAGCCAGCAGTGGGATTCCCTGAGGGCAGCCTGGACTGGTGGCCAGGCTCCTGGCAGCTTGGCTTTCCCCCCGCCCCGGACTGGCCTGAAGTCAGTGGTGTGCATAGACACACAGATTGTAGCCTGCGTGGCTCACCCACCCTTGAATAAAGGCATGCCAAGCATCCCCGTGGCTCCACGCATTTTCTTCCATCTACCTGAGTCTCAAATGGATCTGCTCAGCCTAGACAGGCTGCAACACACATGGTCATTTCCCAGCTTCCTTCACTGGGGTGGTTGAATGCTGGAGATTGTGAATATGACCCTACCCGACCGTTAGTAGAACAAATTTATGTACCATGCTCCCAAACAAAAATTTTGGAAAGGTCTCTTTTGAGTCATGTTAATTAAAAAATAAATAGCTCTCCAGAGTGAAATGCTAACCATTTCAGCTGTCCCCTTACAATGTCCTAATGTAAAGACACATAGATATAAAGGGTTTTTAAAAAAATCATTATTCCCATGTACCTACTCACACAAACTATTAATACTTTTATCAATGTAGCATAGCAAGGTCCTAAACCGATTACTAATCAAAAGCAGTGTATGTAATTCAAGAAAAACAGACTGCCTACGGGTCCCCAGTTCACACACAATATTTCTCTAAAAGTTAAATATATTCTTCTCTGTTGACCTATAGAAAGCTAATTCTGCAAAACAGGCATGTACTAACATGATTTCTTATGTACATGAATATTTCTCTATATATACTTATTTCCATATATATATGCAACAAGTCAAAGCCCAAGTATATGTAATATAAGGATGATCCTCAACAGAACTGTTAGGAACTTACAATTCCTGCAATCAAGATACAATTATTTACTTATTTTCCTGTGGGTTAAACAAACCTTATATTCTGATTGAAAGAAAAAGACATTGATTTAGAGGCCTAATTATTGACCTACGTTAAATACCCATAAACTATTTCTCTCCCTTTCCAGTTTTCTTATTTTTATGTAAATGCATAATTACTGCTTATCAAAGTGCACAATTACTGTAAAGTTGAGCTTTATTCTCAACAGCTTCTGTCAGTTAAATAGGGATTTAGACAGGATTAAAGAAGATTAACAAAGAGGACAAGGGAGGGTAAAATTTGTGTCTGCCACTCAAAAGATACTGGTAGGATGTCTTCAACTTGTTTTGTTGAACCTAATGTAATATCACCCCAAGGCTGGCATTAACGTTTGTTTTTTAAAAAGTAAAGTCTTAAAAAATCACTAAGTTGTTTAAAAAGAAAAACAATAAAGATTTCAAACTAACTAAATCATGTTTACAAAAATTAAAAGGTAGGCTTTTACAATGGAAAAACAAAGATTCCGTGTTAAAATATAAAAGCACTGGTGCTTTGTGCTAATAGTCACAAACCATTTCAAAACGATAAACAAAACGTCCACCAGAGATCAAACCCTTGCCTGAGACCAGCCTCTTGTAGGCAGTTAAGTGGTCGCCTTCAGAGAAAATACCTCCTTTCCCCCATCCCGCAGCGGTGAATTGGAAGCGGTGAAAGTCCCAATAACTTTGACTCCTATGAGAACTCCGTTATCATTAAAACAAATGTCTGCTCATTTAAAAGAATTATCTAAACATAATTACATAAATCTCTTTTCTTTTATAATTGAGATTACAAACCACTAAAAATCAGTTTTATTGGTCCCCTCACCTTCCAATCCGTGTTATTTGCAGTAAAGAAAGTTTTCTTTAAACCAATGTTCTAATCCTTTTTCTGCAAACCGAGTCCCTTAAAAGATTTCTCCCTCCATTT